CCCTAAACTGCTAAACCCCCAAGCCCCTAATCCCCTAGGCCCGAAGTCCCTAAGCCCCTAGGCGCCTAAACCCTGAGCCCCTAAACCCTAAACCCTAAACCTTAAAACCCTAAACCCTAAACCCTAAAAGCCCTAAAAACCCTAATCCCTAAGCCCCTAAACCCGCTCTTCGGATCTTAGGGTTTTGGAAACCCTGCAAGATGCCGGAGGTCTCGCCGCCCAAGCAGCCGTCTACCAGCTCTTGGAACGAGGCCCTCACACGCTAACATCCCCGCGGGATTTAAGGGTTTAGGGTTGAGGGTATAGGGGCCTTAATAATTACCCACACTATTTTGGGTTTTCCTTATTATAGTTTATAGCATAATCTACTCCCAAAACCCTATTCTACTTATCAAGGCCCCTACATTAACAACCCAGCAGGGTCTACGGTTTGGGGCCTTAAAGGTGTGTGGGGCTTGCGGCTTTATGGCAGGTTTTGTGTTTCGCGCTTCCTGATTGGGCCGAAAAGTTGTCCCCCCTGAATTGAGGAAGACTCCCTATTCTATGTAAGGCTTCTTCATAGGACTTAAAGGAAGTCTGTAACGGAAGGGTGTTGGGCTTTCCAGTATCGGGTGCAGGGTGGAGTGTTTGGAGTTTCGGCCTTGAAGGTAGGTTGGAGCTTAGTGGCCTGAAGGCTTAAGGCTTAAAGAGGGTTCGGGGGATTTAGGGTTTACGGTTCCGGGCTGTCTGGAGTGAAGAATTGCATCTTAACCCAAAAGCACCAGCCTAAACCCATACATGGTTTTCGAAGCAATTGAAGCCTTCGGTCGGGAGTTTCGGTTTTGAGCCCTTTCTTCAAGCTCTTCGCCTGAGCTGGGCGCGTAGGGATACTGGGTTTCAGGACATCTCTATCCTAACCCCTTGAACCCTTGAGCCCTAAACCCTAAACCCTTAAACCCGTAAGCCCTAAACCCTAAACCCTAAGCCCTTAACCCCTTAAGCCCTAAAAAACCTATACCCGAAACCCTAGACACTGAACCCTGGTCTACCTGGCGCTCTTACCAGATAAAGGGGCTTATGCATTTGTCCACTGGCCATTGGGCTCGGAATAATTTCTCAGATCGTTGCATTGGGTTCCTCATTATTGTACTCATAAGTATAATGTAGTACTCTACCCGCAAGCCCTACTCTAATTAGAGCCGAGGTGCCTTTATGAGGTTTAGGGTTTAGGCCATACTATACCCGGTTACCCGCTACTGCCAGGCAACCGTGACAGCGTCATCTTCACTGGTGGAGAAGCCGGCGACCGAGACGAAGAAGTGCCTGCTCTTCTCCGAAACCCCCAGCCGATACTCTGAAAAGCCTGAAACTCAAGGGACTAAAGGAGCGACCCGTAAAGGGACGACTGGGGTTGTATAGGAACTTTATGAGACTATATAAGGGGTATATAAGGGTTATATAGGATAGTAGGATTAAGGATCCGTTCTAGGGGTCCCTCCTATTGTCCCTTAAGAAACCCGAACCCTTCTCCCCGAAGCCCTCAAGCCCTCGAATCCCGCCAAACCGAACGAGTTCGGAGGTACAGTAGTTCGTGGAAGACACCAGCAGCTACTGAGTCAAACTAACTAATATAGGGGCCTTAATGTTTTTCAATAGGGTTTGGGGTTGTATTATACTATAACTATAATTACAGTAAGGAACCCCCAAAACCCTATTCTAATTATTAAGGCCCGTACAGTACACTGACTAGACCCTGCGACAGAGCTTGCAGGCTCAGTGGGTCCTGGAGGGGTTGTCGGTTTGAAGCCCTAGTACATTAGGGTTTAGGGTTTAGGGCTTAGGGCTTAGGGTTTAGGGTTTAGGGTTTACGGTTTAGTACATTCATCCGTTCCTGATCGAAGAGATGGTCTGCGTTACCGTACCTGGCTGCTGCCGATACCCTAAACCCTAAATCCTAAACCCTTAACTTGTGCGACAACAGTAAACCCTAAGTTTTGGAGCCTGAGTTTGGAGTCGACTCAGCAGTGGCAGGCTCCATCTTAGGCTGCGGTGGCATCTGATCTCAGCACTGTGGAAGTTGTCGTCGGGGCGGAGATTTGTGTAACCTCTGTGTGCCATGGAGCATGGTGACATGGCCTCGAGGATCAAGCACGAAGTTGAGTAATCGGAGTAGTGCCCATTGTACAAAACCAGCACCCATCGATCACACGCTGCAGTTTCCTGGCAAAACACTCACTTAGAGATGGGGCTTCCAGACGAGAAACTCGTCGATGCGTGCAATGTTCCTGTTGGCTTGCGTTGTGCAATATGCACAGAAGTCTTCGTGGATCCTGTGTGCGGGGTCGAATGCCAGCACGTGTTCTGCTCTTCGTGCATGGGCCGTGCGACAGCGGCACAATCCCGCTGTCCTTTATGCCGAGTGGCCATTGATCAGACACAGCTACGACGAAGCCATCCTATCCAATCGCTGGTTGATGATCTAAAGGTCATGTGCGACTACAGAATTTCTGGGTGCGGGTGGACAGGGCGGTTGCAGGATTGCGCTGCTCACCAGGCTACATGCCCTGTGCCAGAGAACGCAAAGTTGATAACACAGCTGAAGCGGGCCACTGCTCGCTCTGACGAGCTTGCGAAGGAGACGGAGAGGTTGGCAAAGAAGTTAAGGCTGGCCAATGAGCGTGTCAAACAGCTCGCTGCCGAGAAGCTAGAAATGGCAGAAGAGGTTTTGATCAAGACGAAGCTCTTGGGAAGCGTTTCCCGGTCTGGTGGCCAGCACGTGCAAGTGTTTGTTCGAGACCCTTCTGACAAGATCCATGTGTTGATCGTCAACATCGACGAAGACATATCAGCAGCGCAGCTGTGCATCTCATCCCACACAGGTTGGGACCTGAAATCCTTTTACCTTACTGGCTTTGGTCAGATCTTGCACCCAGGCAGGACGGGCAGGGAGTATGGCATCCGCCCGGACGCGACTCTTTGCATGAATGCGCGCTTGTTACACGCAGCATTCTGAAGAAGAGCAACGCTAGACCGCGACTGTTTCGAGCTCGCGGTCTGAGCTACGAGGTTCATTGCACTCGTTTAGCACGTTTAGAGTTGAGGGCCGTACTGGTTCAAGGGTTGGGGCTCAAGGCGATCAATCATGGGGTATAGGCTTTGGGCTTGGGGGGTTCATGGTTCAAGTTAGTTGTGGTAAAACTTCTAGATCACGGTCACGGCATGTGTTGTCGCCAGCAGGCAAGAACGAGGGAGATAGACAGCACACTTTAAGAGGTGCAACATCGGTGCAGGTTGATGGCTGAGTCCGTGCAAAGACCTCACATGTGCTTCTGCCGAGTAGCGAGCTGATGGAAGACTGTTGCAATGGCGACCGGCAGTAAACCAGCAGTGCGCGGGTCGTTTGTGGGACGAGAGATCCACATTTCTTTGCCGGCGGCCTCGCAGCTACGTTGCACGAGGTCTAGGTGCAAGCACCACTGCTGTTAGTAATCGTACTACTATTATGTTTCTGCTTGCTCTTATGGTTATGATTATGAGTTCTTATGTGTATTATTATTACTACGACGACGACGACTACTACTACTACTACTGCTACTGCCACCACTACTACTACTGCTGCTACTACTCCTACTACTACTGCTGCTACTACTACTACTACTACTACTACTACTACTACTAGTACTACCAACTACCAAGTACCAGTCACGACTAGTTCTGCTACTCCTACTACTACCACTACTACTACTAGTAC